ACAACCACTTTGGAAATTGATTTGGTGCTTCCTTAAAAAGCTAGAAATAGAAGTGCCATACAATCCAGCTATCCCACGCCTTGGAATATATCCTAGAGAAATAAGAGCCCTCACATGAATAGAAAAATGCACACCCATGTTCACTGCAGCATGGTTCACAATAGCAAAAAGATGAAAACAACCTAGGTGCCTATCAGTGGATGAATGGATAAACAAATTTTGGTATAGCCACACAGTGGAATACTGTGCAACGATAAAGAACAACGATGAAGCCATGAAACGTAACATGGCAGAAGCTGGAACTCATTATGCTGAGTGAATTTAGTCAGTCACAGAAGGACAAATATTGTATAAGACCGCTATTAAAAGAACCCAAGAAAAGGTTTAAACACAGAAGAAAACGCTCTTTAATGGTTACGAGGGTGGAGAGGGAGGGTGAGGTTATTTACTAACTAGATAGTAGGTAAGAATTATCTCAGGTGGAGGGAAGGACAACATACACTACAGGGGAAGTCAGCACAGCTGGACTAAACCAAAGCTAAGAAGTTTCCTAAATACAGTCAAACACTTTGAGGGACAGAGTAGCAGAAGTAGGCATCTAGGGACCATGCTTTCAGGGGACACCTAGGTCAATTGGCATAATAAAGCTTATTAAGAAAATGTTCTGCATTCTACTTTGGTGAGTGGCATCTGGGGTCTTTAAAGCTTGCAAGCGGCCATCTAAGATCCATCAAGTGGTCCCAACCACCTGGAGCAGAGAAGAATGAAGAACACCAAAGACACAAGGGAAGTATTAGCCCAAGAGACAGAAAGGGACACATAAACCAGAGACTTCATTAACCTGAGACCAGAACAACTAGATAGTGCCCAGCTACCACCAATGACCTCCCTGACGGGGAACACAACAGAGAGTCCTGGATGGAGAAGGAAAAAGGTGGGGTGCAGAACTCAAAGTCTAGTAAGAAGACCAGACTTATGGTCTGACTGAGACTGGAGGAACCCTGGAAAGCATGGACCCTGGATTCTCTATCAGCCCAGAACTAAAACAGTTTCCGAGGCCAACTCTTCAGACAGGGATTGGATTGGACTGTGGGATATAAAGTGATACTCGTGAGGAGTGTGCCTCTTAGCTCAAGTAGATATAAGAGACTAAACAGGAAGTTTCTGTCAGGAGGAGGGATGCGAAGACAGAGAGGGTTAGGAGCTGGCTGAAGGTTGAATGGACATGGGGAATCAGTGGTGGAAAGGAGGAGTGTGCTGTCACAGTATGGGGAGAGCAATTAGATTCACATAACATCGTATGTATAAATTTTCATATGGGAAAAAATAAAAAATAAACATGCAAAGACTAAGCAATGTTTGAAAATCATCTCTATTTTAGCTGAGTTCACAAATTCAAGAGGCAAAAATTAGTTTTTCATGTCATTTGCATCAAAACAACACGAGTTCACAGTTTCTTCTAAATTTGTCATTTTATTTTTTCTTAAAACCCATAACACAACCACTACAACGAATGCTAAACCTTAGAAGTAAAAGTAAGAGGAAAAAAAAATGTTTTCAGTGTTAATATAAAGCTATAAAACTTTAAATAAACATAACTAAACTAACTACTAATTCTTCTGCAGCAATAATGGACATTGTTTGAAATTCTCTAGCTTTTCACAATTTTTCCTTTATATAGTAAAATAAAAGAAAAGAAAGATAAAGTCTATATAATTTTAGCAAGATAGTCAGTCCTCCCAGACAGGGTCTGACATACTAGATAAGATCAGGAAACTATATCTTTCTCTGATAGGAAAAATGTTATTTCAAAAATATGAATGTAGTGCAAGATACCGTCTGTAGTCTTCAACGTCATCGTTCAGTATAGATTTACAGTTCTGCTATATTGACTTATGGACTGTGTGGGAGAGAATTCAGTGCCCTTTTCTCTTTCTTTGAAGTGTTAATTTAATGACCGCTTACCTTTAGACAGGTATTTCTTTCTGCGGAAAGCTAACCAACACCCAATTTTTTATTCCTACCTTGTGAAATATTCCTGCTAAACAGAACGGATTATGAAACCAGCTTGAGAAAAATCACCAGTTATCACCATCAATAGCATTCCATCTGCCTGCCTCTTTTCATCCTAGCACACTCCTGGGGCCAAAGCACAGTAACACCACTCACAGATAATTATGGTCCTCACTGAAGGGGCCCAAATGACCCAGCAGAGGCTGTGGGTACCAATGAAGGATGAGGAGGAAACTTTGTTTCAATAGTTGAATGGCGCAAAAAATAAAAGGTAAGTCAATTAGGGTACTTTTAAGGTAAATGTATGAGTATTTGGCATAAGACTGTCTATCTGGGAGCCCTACCTGAAGTTAAGATCTTAGACTAAACCAAAAGTCACATTAATGAATATCCTTCATCACTTAAAATCATCACCTCTAAAGTCTTTCCTTTGTTCATCATCCAAGAGACAGCTTTTCAGCCTTAAAAACCATATAGAATCTATACTAACCACTTTGATGAGTTTCTTAGTAACTCTCCACCATCCGACCACTAAGGCAGATCTTCTGAGTTAACCCTGGTGAACATTTGGGCATCAGACACCAAAAACCAGATTGCCTTTATTAGTCTTACTACAGCAGCCTCATGAATAAAAAACCTCTACTTATTTGATTTCATAATTGCTCATCCAACTTTTAAAACTTACATAGGCACCTTTTTACACTGGACATGTTTCTTCTATTAATTATTTACTTTCTTAAAAGGCAGTAATATCTGTCGCTTTGAGAGACTAGCCACTTGCCTCTTAACACATATTTAATGACTTATTAAGTCCCTTTAATAGCACAAATGAAAAGCACTCATTATGATATAGTTGCAAAAATAGAACCCCTGTAAGCCATCTGCAAAGAGGACTGCATACATTTAAGTGTGTGCCCTGCAAATTGTAGACTTTTGGCGAAAGAGGGAAAAAAGGCAAAGAAATTATCAAGGGAAAACATTCTTGATGTTTTCAAAGTCATTTTCAGTTACAAAGAAACTAGCTATCTAAAACCACATCAGGAAAGGCCAGAGATAGAGTGAAATTTATAACCAGAAAAACATCATATGAAGTCATTGTACTCACTGTCTGATGGCTTCTGTCACAGTAACGCAGCCCAAAATAATCTATCTCCACGAGGTTTATGTGACGGAATACGTGGTCAAGGACAACGGAACCTTTAGTTGACTTCTGCAAAAAGATTTCACAGTTTTATTTTTTTTAAACAAGATATTTTGTCTTTGTCAGTAGGGCACAGTCATGGTTCTCATGTTTCATTAGCTCAGCTCACAATGCAAACAATTTTATTACCCTGTAGTTCCCTCTTTCAGTTTTGCCTCATTTACCAGGAAAAAACGTGATTTAAAGTAAATAATATTAAAGAAAATGATTTGGGAAATAATTTTAAAATTTTGTTGTTGTTGTTAGTTGCCATCGAGTTGGATCCAACTCATGGTGACCCTACTTGTACAGAATATAACCACTCCAAATACAACTGCTCCAAAGGCTCTGACTTTTTGGAAACAGATCATCAGTTCTGTCTTCTGAGGCATGTCTGGGTGGGTTTTAAATCAATGCAAGCTTCTTATAGGATTGTGAATTATCTTCAGGACAAAATTCTTCTTTTAATAAAAGATACCCTTTTATATATACAAAGCATGTAACACTTTCTTTGCCTAAAATCCCTGTCTTTACTTTAAAAAAGCAATTTTCACCTCTATCATTACTTCACAACTAAGAAGATACATAAAATTAAAATAACAATAGTCAAAGCTTTTATTTTTAATCCTCAAATAATAAAACCATAGATTAAAGCTGCTAAAACCAATGTTCTGTAAAGCCCTTGTGAAGATATTTTACGTTATCTCTTTCCCATAAGCACAGACATAAAGAAAGCACTTCCTCTGGATGCTTTTTAAATGCTGACAACTATCTAAAAATCTAATCTCTCCTCTCCCCTTCCCACTAGGTACACAGATTCTTTAAATTAAGATTTTTATCATCTGACCTATTAGATACCAATTATTCACATGTATAATATAAATATTTAATTAGCAAGCACTGCTCCACATACCACATTAATCTTGAAAAATAACCCATTTCATGTGTACAGATAGAGATTTTTCCTATCTTTTGCCCATTATTGGAAGGTGCAGCAAGGTAGTAAAAGAAAATCCCTGAGAAGTCACACCCTGTGGTAAGGAAGTAGGGCTTCGGTTCTTTGCACCTTCCCTCAAAGAATTATCATTACGTGCTTATCCATGTGCAGTGAGTGCTCAATCTTGCACTGCTTTTAGAAAATGGATTTTTAATGTAAGTGAAATGTTTTGATTAAATGTATTATAAAATGCGTGATATGAGGTGATAAAGGAGCCCTGGTAGGCCAAACAGTTAAGTGCTTAGCTGCCAACCGAAAAGTCAGCAGTTCAAATCCACCAAGTGACTGTGAGGGAGAAAGACCTGGCGATCTGCTTCCATAAAGATTACAGTCTAGGAAACCCCGTGGGGGCAGTTCTACTCTCCCACATGGGTTTGCTATCAGTTAGAACAGATTCTAAGGCACCTAACAATAACAGCAGGAGGTGATAAATGTACACACTGGGAGAAGATAGTTCTTTTTATAAATCCCACAGGTATTTTGTTTTTCTCTAAACTACTTCAGTTAAACTTAATTTGTCCCCTTTTCAAAATCCATTAGAGAATTTATTTATAAACAAAAGGCCCTTCTAGGATGGACTTTTAGGTTGTTGGACATAACAAATACCAAACCAAAAAATTCATTGCCCTCAGGTCTATTCCAACTTATAGCTACCCTATAGGACAAAGTAGAACTGCCCAGTAGGGTTTCCAAGGCTGTAATTTTTATGAAAGCATACTGTTCTCCCACAGATCAGCTAGTGGATTTAAACCTCTGAACTTCTGGTTAGCAGCTGAGCTCTTAACCACTGCGCCACCAAACCAACCACCAAACCCATTGCCATAGAGCCAATTCCAACTCATAGCAACCCTATAGGACAGAGTAGAACTGCCCCATAGAGTTTCCAAGGAGCAGCTGGTGGATTTGAACTGCTGGCCTTTTGGTTAGCAGCTGAATGAGTAACCACGTTGCCACACACACACACAAAAAAAAACCTAACCCATTGCCATCGAGCTGATTCTGACTCATAGCAACCCTATAGGACAGAGTAGAACTGCCCGATAAGGTTTCCAAGGAGTGCCTGGTAGAGTCAAACTGCCGACCTTTTGGTTAGCAGTCAAACTCTTAACCACTATGCCACCAGGGTTTCCACTCTGCCACCAGGACTCCTTAATACCACATCCAGTAAATGTCTCTTTGTGCTCAAGCACCTACGTATTTCTTTAGGGTAGAAGCCTGGAAGTGAAATTACTCATCTGAAGGGTTGTTGTTGTTGTTAGATTCCGTCAAATTCTGACGCATAGCAACCCTATGCACAACAGAATGAAATGCTGCCAGGTCCTGAGCCATCCTCACAATCGTTGTTATGCTTGAGCCCATTGTTGTAGCCACTGTGTCAATCCATCTCATGGAGAGTCTTCCCCTTTTTCTCTGACCCTCTATTTTACCAAGCATGATGTCCTTCTGCAGGGACTGGTCCCTCCTGATAAAATGTTTGAAGTACATGAAACAAACTCTTGCCATCCTTGCTTCCAAGGAGCATTCGGGCTATCCATCTTTCAAGACAGATTTGTTTGTTCTTCTGGCAGTCCGTGGTGTATTCAATATTCTTCACCAACACTGTAATTCAAAGGCATCAATTCTTCTTCGGTCTTCCTTATTCATTGTCCAACCTTCCCATGCATATAAAGTGATTGAAAATACCATTGCTTGGGTCAGGTGTACCTCAGTCCCCAAAGTGACATCTTTACTTTTTGACACTTTAAAGACGTCTTTTGCAGCAGATTTGCCCAAGGTAGTGTGTCATTTGATTTCTTGACTGCTTCCATGGATGCTGATTGTGGATCCAAGTAAAATGAAATCCCTGACAACTTCAATCTCTTCTCCATTTATCATGATGTTGCTATTTGGTCTAGTTGTGAGGATTTTTGTTTTCTTTATGCTGAGATACAATCCATACTGAAGGCTGTAGTCTTTGATCTTCATTAGTAAGGGCTTCATTCAAGTCCTCTTCACTTTCAGCAAACAAGGTTGTGTCATCTGCATATTACAGGCTGTTAATGAGTCTTCCTCCAATCCTAATGCTGAGTTAGTTCTTCTTCATATGGGCCAGCTTCTTGGATTCTTTGCTCAGCATACAGATTGAATAAGCATGGTGAAAGCATACAACCGTGAGGCACACCTTTCCTTATTTTAAACTACACAGTATCCCCTTGCTCTCATCGAATGACTGCCACTTGGTCTGTGTACAGGTTCCTCATGAGCACGATTACATGTTCTGGAATTTCCATTCTTTGCAATGTTAGCCATAATTTATCATGTTCCACACAGTCAAATGTCTTTGCATAGTCAATAAAACACAGGTAAACATCTTTCTGTTATTCTCTGCTTCCAGCCAAGATCCATATGACATCAGCAATGATATCCCTCATTCCATGACTTCTTCTGAATCCAGCTTGAAGGGTTTGCACACTTAAAAGTACAGTAGGTACTGCCAAAAAGATCATTAACAATTCATTCAATGAGAGTACATTTCCCCACACCCTTGCCAACATTTGGATTGAGTAAATATTTTCCAATCTGATTGAACAAAAAAAGGGGGAAAAGTCATTTTAATTTGCATTTTCCTGACACTAATAAAAGTAAACACCCTTTTATGCACTTACTAGCCAACTGTATTTCCTAGCATTTGGGTTAAGTGCTCCCTACCCAAAAATTTGCAAGCAAATTCTCCTAAATGCTTCTAATACTTACACATTTAATCTAATACATTGCGCTGTTCAATACATCTGGAAATTATTTTTGTTTTTGGGACAAGAACCTAACTTATTTCCAAATGGATACATAATAACCCCACCAAAGACCCAAAATTTCCCTTGTAATTTTAAAAAATTTTATCATCTACTAAATTAACCCACATTGTATACCATGGATTATTCCTGTATTCCTGGACCAATGCCCGAAATTGTCCTCACCTATTCTTGGACATTTTTCTCTGCTAAAGGAAGTTTAAAACTAGCTTGCCAATTTAAAAAAAAAAAAAACACTTCTTTTGGGATTTTGATTGGAATTAAATTTATTAACAGGCTGAATAACTTGGGGAGGATGATACCATATTTACAAAATTAAACCTATACAGCTTTCTTTTATAACCTTCAAGGAAATTTAATACTTTTCTTCATGTAGGTCTTGCAAAATTCCACTTAGGCTTTGTGACGGGCAGAATTTCCAAAATGGCCTCCAAAAATGTCCTTCTTTAATCCCTGGAATTTGAGAATATGATGAGATATCACTTCTGTGATTGTATTATGTTAGATGGCACAGTTGACCTTAAGATAGGGAGAGTGTCTGGGTGGGCCTAATTTAATTACATGGGTCCTTTTTTCCAGCAGAAGGGGAAGAAAAAAGTGGAAGGCAGAAAGGAAGTCAAAGAGATTTGAAGTGTGAGAAGGATTTGACACAACGTTGTCACTTGAAGATGGAGGGAAGCCATGTGAGAAGGAATTCCAGCAGCCTCAGGAGCTAAGGGTAGCCCCCAGCTAAAACAGGATCTCAGTCCTATAACCACAAGGGCTGGATTCTGCCAACAATCTGAAAGACTTTGGAAGTGAACAGAATGTGAGAATCTGAGCAAAGAACTCAGCCATGCCATCCTGAACCTCTGACCTACAGAACCATGAGATAATAAATGGTACTATTTTAAGCCACAAAGTTTGTGGCCTCAGAAGAAAGACCTGGCAATTTACTTCCAAAAAAATCAGCCATTGAAAACCCTATGGAACATAGTTCTACTCTGACACACATGGGGTTGCTATGAGTTGGCATCAACCCAACGACAACTGGAGGAAAAGAAAAAGTTTGTGTTAGTTTGTTTACACAGCAATAAAAAAGTAACCCAGGTTTACCCTTATTTTATAGTTTTATTGTTGTTATATTATACTTTCTGACTGGCTATTGCTAGTATAAAGGAAAGCAACTGATTTTTCTACTTTGGTCTAATTCCCAGCCATCTTGCTAAATGCTTATTAGGTAAAATAGCTTATATATGGAATCT